CCAGTGTATTCCCATAGTGTATGTTTACAAAAGTTAAGTCCATGAAGTGTCTCGGCTAAGAGAACATACAAATAATTAACAAAATTAAAATCCAAAAAAACGCTATTTAGTAATGCTCATATGTGAAGACAGTCCTCACTGTTTTAGCATCCACATCATAATAAAATACACAGCAAAAAGCCGGACAGCCTATCCCCTGTGTGCCTTGGCAGGCTGATGGCAACTAGAAAATTGTCAAATCCTTAGTGATTACTTGTTTTTCTTTCCTATCGCAGATAACTTGATTTTCTTGGAATCCAAACGCCCTTTTTTTATCCACTCCATTTAATTGAGGCTGCAAAAACACGAGCTATGCTTTGAATAGCTACCTCCATGTTGGTCATTTGGTGGTGGAGGGCCAAACCAGGACACGGCAGGCATCAAAACAGATGGATCAAGCTGAAGTGGAACAGATAAGTGTGCCAAGTGCTATCAACAACCCCCCCAGAGCGCACTGAGATCACCTCAAACAGGATCTGCAAGAGAGATCAGATACAGAGATGGTGTCAGGATTTGTCTCCTTTAATACACATTTGATGAAATACTATATAAACGCTACATATCCCCCGTCATGCTCCTTGGTTGATACTATAAATCATATCTTGTGTAAACGTTTAAATTCAAAATAGATGTAATAAATGTCTTTCCATGCATCTCGATGAGTGAGCAACATTCCAGCTTTTGGCTCAAAGAGTTAGGATTGGACAAAGTTGTTACACAAACTAAATTGGCTTTGCTTCCTTCACCTAAAACATTTTTTCCGCAGAGCAGCTTAAGAGGTATTTAGATTTTTGGCCTTTCAGCACAGCCTTCCGTGTCGGTTTGGACAGGGTGTGTGTTAACGATTAAACCATCTGGCGCTGATGTCATGTAACGTCCAAGCTTAGAGGGTCTCCTCCATCTGCACATGACCACATCTGGTTCTTCTCCACCCATGCCCTTGCTTTGGATACAGTGCTAACAAGCTCCCACGCAGTATACACATCATGGCGACAGTTGTGGTCAGCTAGTTCCAGACACATTTCAAACCCAATAGCATGAATCTATGTGCCATTAAGAGCTGTATGTGTGCAGGTTTTCATGCCTCAAAAACACACATTTCCTGAATAGCAGTTTTTAGCTCGAGCTAGCAGGAGCTACTGAGTGAAACCAGCTGCTTTGTTGTTTGGTTGCACTGAAAACCTGAATACATATGGCTCCAAACTGGCTCAAGGTAATTACAGAATGAGAAACATGTTGATTGTTGTGTCCTTGAACATTTTTCTCAGTTTGCCTCGAAGGACCTTCAGAAGGAATGCAAACATTGAAGATATGTGTGCCGTTTGGCAGAGCTGTGTGCTGGCTGTCTGGCTTCCAGCTCTCTGTGATCCTGTCATGTTGTGTTTCAGAACAGCTCATCATCACAGGGTACAGGTGTAACAAGACAGAATACATCAGCCCAGTTGACAAGCCTGTGAGCAAAACACCTCCAGTGTGAGACCTGGTGATTTCTGTAATGGTTTTCTAGGAGTGATGTTTTTCAGTGGGTGGAAAATGCAAGCAGAGTGGACCAGGATTAAAAAACAAGATGCAATTTCAACTGTTTCTTCAATCACTAAGGTATGATCAAGCACAGTATTGCTGAAAAAGGACTTTAGTGCTCCTCAAATCTTGTTTCCATGGAGACATTTCAGTTTTTATGCTCTTTTTCATTTTCAATCAAATCCATAGTTATTCCCTAATTGCACAGTGAAAACATCTCAGTGGACAAAATGTCATTTAATGTCATTGAACATTTTGTAACGTAGCAATCATTCATTTTAACTATCATGGCATATAAAATGTCATAGTATGGTATTTCATCAAAAGTTAATAATATAGTATATAAGAAAAATGTCATAACTTTTGTCATGAAATACTGCATCTCATTAATATGTTTGATTATTATATAGGCATACAACAAGTAAGGGATAATGTGCTGCGACGCGGTCATTATGGTGAAAAGAACACCGACAGGCTGATCAGGAGCCCGACGCGAAGCGGAGGGATCTAGATCGGCATGAAGGTGTTCTTTTCCCCATTGTGACCAAGTCGCTGCACATTATCCCGCTTATTACATGGCCACATTCTCAACAAAGTAACGCTATGACTCCCACTATTAATTGAGATGCTTTTATGGATTTAGAAAATGATTTTATTGATTTAAAAAATAGTTGTATGTATTGATTTAAATTGACATGCATCCGCTAAGAAAAATAGTCCGTTGTTACTGTTTGAACTAACGTAGCAACGGCAGGAACTGCTTCGATAGCGTTTTTGAGGAGCTTTTTGATTACAGATTTGAAAACATCGCTGCTTGCTTTAAAAGTAGCACAATTCATTATGTCAAACCTTGGAAAGTATCTAGATATCCCTGCCCTAATGCCAAAGTAACTGGCAACTGAATATGTGTCACCGTTTGATGTCTATGTCTGCACCGTTGCGTAAAAAGGAGGATTTCTGCCCGTTACTTCTCCGCTGTTTTCTTGTCGCTCTTGTCTTGTCAGTTAGAAAGTTTGCTTTTCGGCCAAACTGTATACAGTTAAATCAAACAGACTTGTGCAGATGTGAGCGTCCTTAACAACGGTCAATAAGTCCTTGACAGCGGTCTGTCTGTTCGGTATTAACAACGTGTCACGTGTTCTGAATTGACCAATCAGAATCGAGTATTCAACTAAGCCATGTAATAACAGCAGGTAAAACATAGGATAAAACACCACAGCTACAAATTCACCTCCTCCGGCGCCCAAAGGCCAGTCGGAAAAGGTGGGTCTTTAGCTGCCCCTTAAAAATCTCAACTGAGACAGAGGCTCTCAGTTTCTGGGGGAGTTCATTCCAAAACGGTGGGGCCACCGCCTCAAAGGCACGGTCCCCCTTAGTTGTTAGCCTTGTTCGGGGCACCCTTAGGAGGCCTTGCTTAGAGGACCCTCAGGGCCCGGGTTGTGCTGTGAGGGTGGATAAGGTCGTTGATGCAGGCTGGGGCTTGGCCATGGACAGCTCTATATGTGAAAACCAATACCTTGAATTTGGTTCTGAGATGGACAGACACTATATTGCATAATTAAAATTCATGCGATATAGTGTGTCACAACATTTTTACTAATACATATATCGGTTTTTTTCTGGTCATAAAAAGTGTCAAAGAATCGCCTCCGACACAAAAAAGGTAATTTATAAAAAGTCTTCGGTCAGTTTAAAATCCATTAAATAGTCCTATCAAAGCAATAAAGGTTACAGTATATGTCTAAAACATGTAATAAAAAGATAGTCTTGACATAGTCATAGCATACTATGTAAAAAAAAGCATGTGATGTAATTTAAAAGACATAAAATAGTATGCTATTACAAATTGTAAAATTGTCATAAAAGTCATAGAATAGTATGTTATAAAAATAGACGTAAAAAGTACTAATATAGTATGCTATAAAAATCATTAAATAGTATATAATGTCATGACATGTCTTTAAACGATCATAAAACATGTCATATGATATAAAAATGCCATGGTCAAATGTGCCATTAAAGTGTAAAACATGTAAAGGATTTAAGAATGTCATGAAACATTTGCAATATATATAGTTATAATTATGTCATAAAAGGTCATCTCACAAGAGTTGCAGGAAGTATATTCTGTCATAAATAAGTTGTTAGCTTAGCACACTGTGGGAGTGAGATGGTAAATATATTCGGTTTAATGTGTGCACTTTTCCTTAGCTGTCCTCAATCATAGGTTGGATCCCTAAATTGGCCCTGGGTCATCATTAACATTTAAAACCACTGACATGAACACATCTGGCAGGGCTTCTGTCACATCTGTTTTCAAACGCTAGAATATAAAATACGTTTGTAAAGCTGACCCTTTCCACTACAACTCCCACAGTTTACAGCAAGCGAGACTGTCTAAGAGTACATCTTGTCGGTCCATTTTTATTCTCCAAATGTTAATTGCTGTTCTGGGAAACTGGCATCCACGCACACATAAATAGTCAACTTATGCAGATCAATGCCAGCAGTGATGTGGTGAGGAGGCAGCCAAGTGGCAGACTCATGGAAACATTTTACAAAGCGATATTTAAATCAGTAGATCCATTTTTATAAAGTCACAAGTGCAGCTATGCAGAGCCCTTCATCATACTGGGTTTCAAATTAGATTGGCTGTCTTTGCCAGAGTGCTGTTGAAACAGAGCTGAAAAGGTGATTTTCTTTCCCAAAATCACTGCAGTTACTTGACAATTCTGAAGAGAAAAACAGAAATCCAAGTTGAAGTTGGAGATCCACTGACCTGGAGGGAGGCTTCAAATACAGCTACATTTACTGAAAGCTATAATGTTTGGAAATGGTTTAACAATTAGGGTCAATCAGAGACGTGTCCTTGTTTCTAACCTCAATGTTTCCAAGACAGGCTTTGGCTGACCTAGCAGCTGCTTCTAAAGTGAGATGGTGTAACCTTTTTCAATTTTCTAAGAAATAAAAAGTCACAATTCAACACACCCTTGGTGAATTCAATACACCCTGAAGTAACACTGCTACAGCCTGTACTTGGTATGACCCTTAGACTGTATAAGAGAATCAGACAAAGTCACTGTGGTTCAAATAAGTTGCTTTTGAAATATAGGCTGAAGTTGAATAGTCCATTTAGCTTAGGAAC